ACAGTAAGTCTTCCCCAGAATTCATTTTGTGATTCGAAAAGAAACAGCTGCCGATGATGCTTCATGTATTCAATACTGGTTTGTTTGCACTTTAAAGGAAGGGTTAGAACAGTTAGGGGACTCTTCCCTTCAGCCTAGTCCTGCGTTGGAGCTGTAACAGCTACCTGGACACTCGGGGAGCGGCGTGAAGGGCAGACGGACATGAATGCTGGCAGTGTGGCTCCTTCTGTAGCAACTGGCTCCAGGCATCTGCACGTTTAATAGTATACAAACCCTGATGGGTGATGCAGACTGAGGTATAGTGGAATGGAAATGGGCATAGATAAGAGGTTATTAGTATCTGAGAAATAATCAAAAGGATAACAGAAACTTTCCCTAATACACAGAGACGCTGAGTCCAAAAATAACACAACTTGACATTTACATTGTGATTTCCCTGTTAGAAGCGCTTCACCAAAATCCCACTGAATTCAGCTGTGAGCTAGATAAGACAAATTTGCCTTGAGAAATGGAAAAACAGATACAAGGGACTACATGTAAAGTCCACCTCACTGGCATCAACCACTCTGAAAAGTTGGAAGTCTAATCTGAGCAAGTTGGGTTGGCTGTCTGTGGTCAGTGGATAAAGACAGGCAACGCTAGAGGCAGCTCATTGTAAGGCTGAGGGTTTGGGTCACCCTCCAGAGATGCCTCACTGCACAGTGGGTACAGAGGCAGTCTGGACTGCGAACTATTCCCACATCTCTGTTAGAGAGCTAATATTCAGTAAGATGAGTCCCCAGATTGCTGTTCGCCTTTGGTGCAGCTCCATGCAGCTAGCTGACAACATCTGTACTGAAGTGAATCTCACCTTAACCAACTCCAAATAAACAGACTAGAATAGAGAAAATTCTAGATTCTGCTGTTTGTGCAGAAGTTTTCCATCCTGACACATATTTCTACAGTTTGTATAATCAGTCTCTAAGGATTTATAAGAGAGGGATTCTAAATAGCTGTAAAGTTACATGCTGTACTCCTTCAGTAGGTCATTTAATCCAAATTTCATCTCCTTCCCACACAGATGAGAAAAATCTTTGTCACATTCAGGTCATATTCATCCTTTTGTGTTTGTTTTATTTTTTAATTCCACTGCAGTCATGACTCCCATAAAGGGCATCTAGTTTGTTCTCGTTTTCGCCGTCACTTTGGGAAGAAAGCAAGCTCACCAGCTTCACTTCAGTTACTCAACTAGAATAAATCATATAACACCAGGGATGAATCCAGCATGTAGGGATTTCCCACCGTCATTATTACTGCAGATTGTTAGTCAGTACAAATATGACATCATGTAACTGGTAGTATAAAAATTATTCAGCATGTTAGAGGACTGAGTCTCCTTTTCTCTCAGATACTCTCTCCACTATGCTCTGCTGTGCCATTCCTTTGAGTCCCTAATGGATACTTTAAACCATGTTGGCTTCAGCTGGAGGACAACTGCACAGTAAAAGTTTCCTATTAGAACAGATTGTTGTGCTGTATCTTAGAACCAGAGGCTGTCTACTTATAAAAGTTATCAAGAAATCCGTCACTTATACAGGTTGTAAAGTGTCCATGGATTGTGCATTAAACATCATTTCATCATCTTTATAAAAAAGGTGGCCCCAGTTACCACTTTCTGCCAGCAGTGTTACTTAGAGGATCTGTGTAAATTCTCTGATATTTTCATGCAGCCCGTTCATGTTAATTTTCAGGTCTGTGCCAAAGTTCATGAAGAGGATGAAAGTCCCTGACTACAAGGACAAGAATGTCTTTGGTGTGCCTCTGATAGTTCATGTCCAGAGAACGGGACAGCCTCTTCCCCAGAGCATACAGCAAGCGCTACGCTACTTACGGAACAACTGTCTGGATCAGGTATAAATTTATTGCAGGGACTCGGCCGATGTTTTCTGAAAAGCTACCGTAAGCAAGGAATGGGGAAGCTTTTTGTACTTAGTACCAGGATTATTTGAAGATTATTGTATTTTATGTTGGGCCCAGATCTCAAGTGATTTGAGACTGGGTGCCAATACTAATGGTTTGCCATTTTGAGATTTGTATCCAGCTACTCTGTAGAATTCTTGTAGCTATGACAGTCCTGCTGATTTGTGTACAATAGCCTACCTCAAAGAATGACATGAGATCTGCATGTCTATTACAGTCAGAGCTCAGGGCTCCCAGCTTCTACCCATATCTGCACTACTTATGCTTGACTGTTGCCACTGAGGGTTAACTGCATTTGCCATTTCACAAAGGTACAAAAGGTTTATTTACTTAGCAAAGAAAGAAAAGTCAAAGAATAGAGAGCAAACTCAGCAAAATATTCAAAGTATTCTGTTGACAAAGTCAGATATATCCAGATAGAGTTAGGTCAGCAGGGGTTCAATGCCAAAGCCATCATGGTACATTTTCCTTTATAGTGTTCTTAGCTGCAACAAGCCAGCTGGGAGACCCTCATCTTCATTCCCGTTTTTTGATTCCCTTTAGCAGGGACATACCAATCATATTTTTACTGTGCTTCCCCTAAGGATGAGGATGTGTTTCTTTATGAACACAGGACTGGGAAAAAACCCTGGCTGATTGAATTCTACTGTTGTTCCCCTCACGTTGTATGACTTCTTCCGTAACTGCTTTTAGATAGTTGTAAGTTCAAAAGGAGCAACCAGCATTTTACTCCACAGACTTTGATGCTTTCCTAGCTCTGAGCGCACAGAAATGGTGGAAGCCGTCAGTTCTGAATCTTTCCATTTTCTGATCACCATTCTGGTTGCTGTTCAGGTTGTTTTGTTGGGTGACAGTCATCTTCCCCAAAATGGAAGTCTAAAAATTAAATGCCTACCTGTGAATCACAGCCACTTCCCTTTACAGCCAGTGGGGAGACACAGGACCTTCCTATCCTTTCTCTCTGATGTCTATAAAGAGATTCCGTAGTGGTCAGACCTTGACATCTAACTCCTGGGTGTCAAAAGTGAGGTGAGATGAGCTGGGCCCACCATACGTGGCACAGGAGTTGGGAGGAATAGCCTGTTGGGAATGTTTAAATAGAAGATGCATGGAGACAAGTAGGAGCAGTATATTCAGTAGCTAACATGCCTCATTATTGCTGTGGCAGTCTGGGTTTGCGTACTGAGCGGGGAGACCCAGTGAGGAAAAGAAGTGATGCAGCCAGCCTGGAATCAGTGATGGGATTGGAGGAGGAGACACTTGCCCGAGTATGAGGAACAGGAGATGTGGGGGGAGGGATGGGCTTGTCAGCTAAGAAGGAGAGCCACAGGAAGAAAGACAAAAGAGAGGATGGATAAATGGGGGAGAAAGTAAAAGGGAGGGTGAAGCCAAAGCTAAAGAAAAAGCTCTTGAGAGATCTGAGGCAGTCGAAAGGAGTGTCTGTGGGTCTCAGACAAATAGCTGCTCCAGGACGAGGTTTACGTGCTGGTAAGAATCAGAGCTATGTGAAGGGCCATTTCAACTCAGCCTGAGTGAAATTGGGGAAAATATTGAATAGAAAATGAAGGAGGAGAAGTATAGATCTGGACCATTTAACATGTCTTTCCACCAAAAACCTTTCTAGGCCAAAACCCTCCAGGCAATTCAGCTTCTCTGCTTTACAGTGACTTCCTTTGTTCCCATTTAATTCTAAGTCTCCTAATGCCCAGACAGAGGCCTGAGCAGCCTCCAGTCTCACTCAGCATCTTGCTTATGTGTCTCTTCTGTGCGTTGCAGAAGTCAGTCTGGAGTCCTGAACAGGCAGCAGAGTTTCTACTGCACATACTTGGTAAAGTTGAGGTTGCTGTAAATCACTGTAAGGTCTGGCTCCTGGCACTGAAATGTCTAAGATGGTATGAGGAGTCTCACTATTATTTGTAGGATATATTATTCAGTTTCAACCTGTGAAACAGAAACTACTTTGCCTTTGTCAACTGTGTCTTTATTTCTGCCATGCATCATATGGCTACTTTCAGGGCAGGTGATCCACAGCATGAGGCTAATAAAGAGTTTGGGCTGGACTAACCTTTGATAAATCACTGGATTTATAGTCCCATTTTATTTACAGAATAAGTCTGTAATATTGCAGAACAGAGCTTAAAACATATTTTTCTATCAAGTTAAGAACTGTCCTCTTGATTAATTATGATTTTTCCAAGAAAAAGGGGAATAGGACTTTGGATAAGTATCATTAAACAAAAACAGAGATTGAGAGTAGGAGAATGACATGCAGCAGGAGATTGTGCAGGTGAGATTTGATGTCTGACCTCTCAAATCAGACTTAGGTGGAATTTTTTACAAGCTCTTTGTACCAGCGAGGACACTCTGCATCAAAATCAGAGAACTGATTCTCTGCTCTCACATTTTTCTACCTCATGCCAGAATTGTATGTTTTGGATAGAGTTACCATATGTCTTTCTGCATCTTCAGCACACACCTCTGAGAGGGAAAGGGATTAAAAAAGAAGAGAAAGGGAAAACCACATGAAGAGAGACAGATGCTCTTTCTTGAATTCTCTTGCCAGAACGAAGAGCAAAGTTTCACCTGCCAACAGAAATACAGTGCACCAGGATGTACACAGGGCACACTCCTTCTCTGCTTCCCACAAATAAACTCAGCTCATGAGCGATGCTAAATTTTTCAGTAAGAAGACATAGCAGAAGAGCAGCTCACGGCCAGTCTGGTCTAGCAGTTCATCTCCACATAAATAAATACATCCCCTCAGAGCTGTGAAGTGTGTGATTTACCTAATTAGTGTCATTAATGTGTGAGTTAACAGAAGTCCTAAATACCACACAGCTGAGGTGTTCTAGGGAGAACTCTGTGCTGGCCAGAAGGGGAAGAAGGCCAAACAGCAGTATTTCCTTGCCTTTACACATTTTTGTTGGTAGACCATGCCACACAGAAAGCTGGACTGACTGCCAGTGAGACACTGGGCATGGAGGAACAGAAGCCTGTCGTTCCTGACCTGAAATATGCCTTTTTCATAGGTCTTTCTCAATATTTCACCTTTTCCCCTGCAAAACTGAAGAAAAACAGTACTAACACTTCCCAAATGAAATACTGTAAACTCACTTGGGACTAAATAATGTGGTTGAGGCTCAGGAATTCGCCCCCAGGGGAATTCCACTGGCTAGAAGGACTAAAAGGGCAGCACTGCAGTGAAGGCATCATTTGAAGAATTGCCACTTCCTCAGAAAGCAAACAGGATAAAAATGTGACACTGCACAAGTAATCCCTCTGTGGCCCCTGCTTTCGAACAAGGGGTTTCAGTGGGATTTGGGGGAACTGTTGGAAGCAGAGAGCAGGAAGGGGAAAAAATAGATTTGGTCTTGATTTTAAAGCTCTGCCAGGATGTACTGATCCTTTGCCACAGCATTTATTACTTAGCTGAGCATAATATTTTCTTGTTAGTCTTCAAAATATATACCCAAATAAACATGAGGAACCAGATTCTCAGCTGGAGTAAATCAACAGGCAGTCGCCTAAGCCAAGCAAGCCACGCTGATTTATATCAGCTGAGCATCTTGCTTAAGCTCTTCAGGCAGCAGGGAAACCACATGCACTCTGAACCCTCTCTCTAGGATGGGATGCAGGGCAGCAGCGTCATTAACTCTTGCGGTCCCATTGTGAGAGCATGCGCTTGCCTGCGAGACTGTGGGGAGTCATGCCCTTTGTGTTTGCACGTGTTTATCTTGTTCTTGCTGAGAGTAAACTGAGCATCCCAAGCTTTGGTCATGATCAAAGTCCCCATATTCGATTTTTTAAAAATATATGTAGTCTTTAACTTTTTTTTTCTAACTCGGTTCAACATGATGCCTTTTTTCAGGTGGGTCTGTTTCGAAAATCTGGAGTGAAATCCCGAATCCAGGCCCTACGTCAGATGAATGAGAGCTCCCCAGAGAATGTCAGCTATGAAGACCAGTCGGCATATGATGTGGCAGACATGGTAAAGCAATTTTTCAGGGACTTGCCGGAACCTCTCCTCACAAGTAAGCTAGGAGAGACTTTTCTACACATCTACCAATGTAAGTTTCATTATCTTTATTATTATAAACGATTATACAGTATTATACATTGTATAATAGCATATTGTAAATAATTTTGGTGTGTTAACACTGTGTGGGATTCTTTCTTCTCACCTCCAAGACTTATGAAAGAACCTCTCTCCCTTCAAAACTTTTCACTGAGAGATTTTTAGAACTGCCTAAAAGTTTCAGTGTCAAAATCCTAACAATTTTAATGGAAAGACACCATTTAAATCTTGAGAATCTTTGAAAATATCAGCCTCACCATCAGAAAGAAGCCAGAAGAACAGGCTGTCATGGACATAAAAATTGTGAAGACTCATGTTTTTGTCAGTTTTCTTTAAACTGTGGGCAGAAATCTCAAGAAAAGTGAGTCTTCTGATCATGAGACGTGGTACCTGGCCATAAGAACGTGAGCCTGTGCCGTCCGTTTCCTTGCTATGACTTTTGGTTATTTGCCTTTTAATTATAGTCAATAAAATGTATGTGCAGGCAACAAGGTGCTTTCATAAACATCTTCAGCTTCTATGTAAAAATCTCACAAAGAGAAATCCTCTGGGTATTTTAATTTTCATTTCATCACAGGCAGTCTTCAGCAAAATCTGAGACTCATGCATCACAATGATGAAAATCCCTGTAAATCAGGAAATGACTGTGTATCTCTTCTCCAGACTGAGGGAGAAATAAACAATGAGGAAAACACTGAAAAGCCAGAGGAATTAGAGTTTCTTCCTGACAACGTCCATTATGAAGGCCAGTCAGCTGGTGCCTTGGCAGATACAGAAAAGCTTACCCAGCCAGCCTAAGCCAAATAACTGGAAGCACTAAAGAGAAGTGTGTCTAGTCTTTTCACTTGCAGACGTTTCAGCTGCCAAAACAATAGAAAGCCGTTTTTAAACACTGTATAATCCCAGTGCTAAAGAATCTAAGTTACTTCCGTGCCTCCCTTACTGTAAAAATGTGTCTGTGGCACATAGTCACTAATGTGTTTAACATCACAGTGTCTGTAGCTGGTAGAGAAATGCTGTGATCCTAGTCACATGAACCAGCATCACAAACAAATTTAGTGGATTTGGTCATACATGATGTCTTGGGACAGCAGGGAGGTTGGTGCTAGCCCTGGACCATCATTTCCCCCTCTTTGCTGCTGACACGTTGCAGGTCTTGTCTGCCTACACACACATCAATGAGCTTGTTCAGAAGAGCAACAGAAATACTTGGTGCTAACGAAACGGCAATCACAGTCGTTCCCACAGTGAAGTGGCCAAGGAGAAGGTTATCCACTAGAAGGACATCTATGCATCCCTGGAAACAAACTGCCTATAAACTATTGCTTGATGCAAATTAGGAATGTCCTGTCTCGGCACAGGAGGGACTGCAAGTAAACTACCCCCTTGTCAAAGGAACAGAGATAACGACAGATCTCGGTGTCATTGGTGGTTTTAGTTCTGTAGCTGTCCCCATCTCCGAGCTAGGAGAGTCACAACAGCCACAAGGCTGAATGGTGAAACGTTCTTACCAGCCAACAAAAAGATGCTGTAAAAAGGGACACTGGCTGACTCTGTAACCCTACATGGAACTGCAGTGAGAATGCTGAAAAATTATTTACAGTGATCGGAGGGAGAGGGACAATGTTCTAGGAAAGATTTTCTTGAACTGTGCCAATACTTGAAAGGATTTCAGTAAGACTTGAGGATGGATCTGTTTAAACCAACATGGGAACAAGAGAAGATGGGCTCTGTAGACACTGGAGACAAACGTTGAGATTTAGAATGAGTAGCAGTGGTTTTTCTTCCATGTAACCACCAACAAATATATTTCTCTGTTTTAGACTGTACTGACAAAACTCCTTTCACAGAAAGAAAAATGTTGCAAATTGCTGGGATACCAATTGTATTTCATAATGTCTGCAATTAAATAAATCTGTTGCTGGGAGTTTTTCTTCCCCTTCATCCTGTTTAACAACTTAGTAATGTGAAGTTAGGAAGGATTTTTCCTTATTATTATATTGGCAAGGGATTTCTCATTTTCTGGGACTCACTGAAGATCTTTTTCATATATCCAAGACCTTTTTCCTATATCCAGAATGGCCTAGTTTACTGCAACACAGAGGATTGGGGATCATTAGTCTAGTCTATAGTAGTCTATAGCAGTGATTAAACTTTCTCCATTTCCCTAAAACTCTCACTTTCCTAATGTTTACCTATGACTTGAAGGGTGGGCCAGTCATCTTCTCCATGCATCAGACCTAGGAGTGTAACAGTACAGGTGAGGGAGTAACAGGAGGCTGTGTGGGGAGAAAAGACACCTTGTATGGACTTAGTAAAGGCTCCTCTGGCTTTTCAAAGTCCTGGCCTTGCCACTCGTAGAAAATTGGAAGCATTTGTTGGACTGTGTTCAGTTTGTCATTCGTGTCTGAAAGCTTTTAAAATGAAGTGCTTGTACAAGGCTAACAGGCGCAGCTTAAAAGCTGACTGTTCCCTCTACTGCAAATCTGCTTTTGTTCTTCCTGCGTTCGATTATATAGAGCGTATGTAATACCCAGAGGAGGGCTCCAAATCCAAACTGAGGAGACTTAGGGTAGTTTTAGAAATGAATCTGTCTGAGGAGGTATGTAAGCATATCCATCACCACTCTCATTAAACTCTATTACGGTTTGGGACACAAGTGTTAAGAATTTTCCCCAAGCTTCTCGAAGACTTTTTGAACTGTCTTCTCAGGGGACAAAAGAAACCTGAAAAATACCATTTAAAGATAGAAGTACTGATTACTACTACCCCTTCGTAAGCTTTAAATGAAGTTTGGTCGCTTTCTTGGTGAACAGCCTTTTAAAGGACCACAGGAACATTATACACCAGGCGAGCTGTGCTTAATGGAGAAGCATATCATAGAGTGGTTTGAGTTGGAAAGGACCTTAAAGACCATCTAGTTCCAACCCCCCTGCCATGGGCAGGGACACCTTGAACATTTCCATGGATGGGGCATCCACAGCTTCTCTGGGCAACCTGTGCCAGGGCCTCACCACCCTCTCTGGGAAGAATTTCTTCCTGATATCTAATCTAAACCTCCCCACTTTCAATTTAAACCCGTTACCCCTTGTCCTGTCACTACAGGCCCTTGTAAAAAGTCCCCCCCAGCTTCCTTGTAGCCCCTCCAGGTACTGGAAGGTGCTATAAGGTCTCCCCGGAGCCTTCTCTTCTCCAGGCTGAACAAGCCCAACTCTCTCAGCCTGTCCCCATAGCAGAGGTGCTCCAGCCCTCTGAGCATCTTCGTGGCCTCCTCTGGACTCGCTCCAACCAGTCTATATCCTTCTGATGTTGAGGGCTCCACAGCTGGATACAGTACTCCAGGTGGGGTCTCACAAGAGCAGAGTAGAGGGGGAGAAGATGTACCCCAGCCCTCCAACAACCAGCTGTTCTTTGCCCCTTCATCCCCGCTCATCTGCCTGTTCAGAAAGCCATTCGCAGAGTGTGAACACCTGTGCTAACTTTGTTCCTGGCTCCTTAATCTGACCTCACATTTCACCCCCCCGCACATTCTCTTTTCCTCAGACGTCCCCAAGGAGCAGCGGCTGCAGGCGGTGCAGGCAGCCATCATGCTGATGTCTGATGAGAACAGGGAGGTCTTGCAGACTCTGCTGTGCTTCCTGAGCGACGTCACCTCCGTGGAGGAGAATCAGATGACTCCTATGAACATCGCTGTTTGTCTGGCCCCTTCCCTCTTCCATCTCAATATAGTGAAGAAAGAAAGCTCACCAAGGTGGGTTTCTTCTCAGCGCTATAGATGTTCACGTCCTTAACACAAAAGGATGCTTTTTTGACGTTTCTAAAGGTATGCAGGATAAAATTTTCCAAAGCATCTGCTTTCCAGCACGTTACGCAGGGCATGGCTTGGGTGAGAGGGGAGAGCCCATGCAGCAGAGCCAGAAGCACCCTCGCACATGCACAGAAGGTTTCTCACAAGCCCCGCAGGCACTTCTGGCTGCCTGTTCTGAATGTGCCCGCTTTCCATGCGAAGTTTCAGTGGAGCGCTAGTGAGTTCTGTGTAAGTCATGTTGGCTTCTGTGAAGGGAAAGGGCCTGGTTTTGCTCTGGTTCCAGTCAAAGGCTGACCATGTTTTAAAGGATTTTAGTATGTCGATTTTCAGTGAGTGGTTTCTTACTCTGTGTTTTCTGGCTACATTCTGCCACTTGGGAAACCGAGTTTGTTTCAGGCCACATTAAGATGGTAAGGGTAGACTAAACAGGGCATGGACCCCGCTGAACATTAGTAGTCCCAACTTTTATGTCCCTCCAGTCTTTCCCCCAGTCTGGTTCAGGATACACGGAGATTCTTGGGTATGTACATTCACAACCAGCAAGTGCTTTAAGCAGCAAGAGCGTAAACCACCATACATCGCATCTTCTAGAAGTCCGTTTCAAAATATACAGCACTTACACATGCCCTTCATTCTCTCCTCCTCTTACCTTTGGCTCAACAATATTCTATGTAAACATCTTTCTTCTAAAAAAGGCCCATCCGTCTGAGCAATCTTTGTGATAAATTAAAAAACTGAAGAGAGGCTTTTCTCTCTGGTGTTCTGAACATCCTGCTGCTGTTTGCTTTCATATTAAAAAAGATTCAGCTCTTTTTACCTGAGACACTGCATTCAATTACAGAGTAATACAGAAAAAGTATGCAACAGGGAAGCCAGATCAGAAGGACCTCAGTGAAAACCTGGCAGCTACTCAGGGACTTGCTCACATGATAATGGAATGCAACAAACTTTTTGAGGTGAGTGAGAGACTCAAACGGCATTATTCATGGCCAGATAATGCAGCATCCTTTGAAGTATTTATGTTTATGCTTACATTTTCTGTCTTGTATTAGCTCAGAGATTGATGGTGCCTCACTTATTTGTAAACTTGCTCCATCTAAAGTTTATTTTTCTCTTTTCTTTATGACTGTTCCCTTCCAGCATTCAAAGATCGAACCATTAAAAATGCAGGGTACTTACTCTGTGGCAGTTGTCAACCCAGATGACTGGATTTGGAAATTTTAGTCTAATTAAAATCAAAATCTGCTGTCTTAACATTTCATTTTATTATAACTCTTTTAAACAGCTCAATTAAAACGTATTCATCTCAAAAAGAAGAGCTGATAGACTTTATTTCAGCATGTTGTACAAAAAAGTTAAAATCACATGGGAAGATGCAGTCATCCCTGCAGCTACTTTCATTGTGGGTGGAGGAGAGATAACACTCCTATCTCCCTTCCCTTGAGGGGAGCACAAGGCAACATGTCGGGGGGTAGAGGAGTAGCACAGGTGTATTGACATACAGTTGAGCAGTCGAATACGGTTCTGCACGAGCAGTGCTATTCTGAGCCACGGACTGTTTTGTTACACTACTTTGATTTCTCATCTTGCATAATAAGCAAAGTCAGAAATAGCATCCATTTTACAGATCGTGGGCTAACTGCAATTGGATGCCAAATGGTCCATCAGCCTAGAAACACATTCCCTGAAGGAAAAGTTCTCAGCAGGAGGTTTTCCCTGTGTGTTTTCCCTCCCTTCTGTGGCACAGGTCCCACACGAGATGGTCACCCAGTCCCGAAACTCCTATGTCGATGCAGAAGTGCATTCTCCCACTCTGGACGAGCTCGGGAAACAAGTGGATGAGGAAGGAGGGAACTGTCATATGTACCTGGAAAGTCTCATGCAGAATCTCCAGAAAGAAGCAAAAGAGAAATTCAAAGGATGGGTCACGTGTTCCAGTACAGAGAACACAGAACTTGCTTACAAAAAGGTAATCTGGGAAGACGTGGAAGAAGCAGTGAAGAAACCAAAGCAGAATACAGCCTAGTAAACCTTGATTTTCAGGGTCCCTGCAGGGCTGGTGGAAGTGCAATGGCAAAACAGAGCTCTGCAAACCAGCAGCAGCTAGTGAGGGGAGAGGATGGGTTAGGGGTGAGTGACACTAATTACCTAGGGGAAGGGCACTGGGAGGAGTGTGGGATCTGGATGCACTGGTAGGAGTGTGGGATCTAGATGCTGAGGGGGCAGGAAGCAGCATTACCCCTATTTGGGAAAGTGCAACCCCTCTGTTAGGGCAAAGAAATCACAGTTACTCTGGTTTGTTGCCAACTTATGTGAGTGACCTCTCCAGGGAGGGACTGCAGGAGGCTGGGGAAGGAGTAACAGGGCTCAGGTGGGAGTAGGTTGTGGGAGAGGGGGAGGGAGTGAACTGGGAGGTCTGGGTTAAGGGGTGTGTGAGACTACAGAGGCGATTGGGGGCCCCTGGGGCTCTAGGGCAGGGGGACTGGGGAACTGAGAGCATTGGGGAGAAGGAATTATAACAACATAAAATAATTTAAGGTGGGAGGGGTAGGAGGTGGGTTTCTGGGGACACAATCCTGCGTCTGTGGGAGGTGCTGGAGGTGTCTGGAGCACTAGCATTGGTATGTGAGGATGCTAGGGTAGAGAGGGGTTAGAAAAGCAGGGCTTGCAAGATCCAGTTCTTACAGTTAACTTGTTTGCTGCCTGAAATATGACCCCTAAAACCATGCAGAAAAGCAGTACGTGTGTAATTTAGGATATTCATCTTGTGCATAGCCCAGCACTTTCCGCTCCCCTTACTGCATGCTGTGGAGGTGAAATGAGTAACAGGAGCTGTAAGCTAGGAAGTGTTAGCAAGCAGTTTGTGTGTTCCTTCTTTGAAAGGCATATTCCAGTGCCTCCCTTGCAGCTATTTTGAGGAGCAAACGTCTGTGTACCCAACACATAACTGAATCGAGGTATGTTCTGCTCTCCCACCAGTTAGCCAGGAGGGTTTACGGACCCTCGGTCTCAGCCGGTGCATCAGATTGCCCGAGATGGTAGCATTATTTCAGCCCAGGGATTCAGTCTCTCCTTGCGTCCGTTGTTCCTTCTGCACACACGTATTCTCTGTTATACTTAGAATGCTTGGAGTTGAAAAAGTGTCTGTCGCACCAGAAATAACACAGCAACTCCACTGGTACCTCTTCCACTGGAAGAGGTCCAGATACAGTCTGGTGTGAGAACAGAAGTAACGAATCACTTCAGTTACCCATCCAGGACTAGCATGCATAGTTTTCACATAGAACAGGGCAGCAGCAACAGCAATAATAGTAAAGATTAGCAGGGAAATAGGCATGCTCTTAAGCTAAAGACAGGTACCCATATCAAGATTTTGTCCTCAGTTATCCTTGGCTGAACATAGGTATATAAATCATGGGGGTTTTTGTTCTTCATTGCTTTACTCCAGGTTGGGGATGGGAACCCCTTAAGGCTTTGGAAAGCTTCGGTGGAAGTTGAAGCTCCCCCATCAGTTGTCCTGAACCGAGTGCTGAGAGAACGTCACCTCTGGGATGAGGATTTCTTGCAGTGGAAGGTGGTTGAGAGCCTGGACAAGCAGACTGAAGTTTACCAGTATGTTTTGAACAGCATGGCCCCTCATCCCGTCCGAGACTTTGTCGTTCTAAGGTGAGCTAAGGGCAGTTCTCCAGTATCATAGAATGGTTTGGGTTGGAAGGGACCTTAAAGACCACCTAGTTCCAATCCCCCTGCCATGGGCAGGGACACCTTCCACTAGACCAGGTTGCTCAGAGCCTCATCCAGCCTGGCCTTGAGCACTGATCTGGCCTTATCTCAGCCTTTGCATCTGTGCAATTGTGCTACGAGAACTCTACTTCTGGGCAGCAGTGCTGACTCCTCAAACTGAATTAAAATTGTACACCTAGAGCGTGCTGACCTTTTCTCTGATGCAATTTGAGCAGCACATACTCCTGAGGCCACAAATATCATCTCTTCCATAGAACAGATGTCTGATAATAGCTGCTGTTCTCTCTTAGCTTTGTTTGTTGTCAAAACAGTGCAAATAGAACCCAAGTGGTTTTTACACTGCTCTTGCTGTTCTCTGGGGAACGTTTGATGTTTAAGAGCCAAATGTTTAGTGGAGAAGATAGCGATGCTTTTAAGCTAAGGTTGTTATACGGTGCCTATATAAGTTGTTATTTTAGATTTGCAGTTGGCGTCTTTGTAGGCCGAGAAATGCTAACCCATAAAAATCCTACTGTGGAAATGAACCGAAAGAGGCAGTAGATATGTATTCTGACTGTCTTGCAGGGGATGACAGCTCTCAAATAAATGTATAGCTCTGTATCAATATTCCAAATTCAATCCCAGTTTTGCTATTGTCTATCTGTGCCTGTACAGAACAGACAAAAAATACTCCTCTCATGTACCTTCTGCCTTTGAAATCCTGGCCCTTTGCTTTTTGGGAGCCATTGTGGAGCTGCTGACATATTTCACTTACAGGGTTGGTCTTACTGTTATTTATTTCAGGATGATTTTGTGAATTTCTCTTCTTGGTCGCTGCTTTCTTTGATTGAAATGATGTGCCAGAGAAATACTAAGCAGTTTTGACAAAGAAAATAGTCCAGTGAGTCAGAATTGTGTTAGAGAGAACAAAGACTGAAGGAAAAAGATGAGCCTAATAAAATATAATACTACACCCCCTTTTATGAACTTCAGCATTCTCTTTGAGACTGATAACATGCAGATATTGTCAGTATAAGGGAAAAATTATCAGAACTCCTGGGGAAGATTAAAACCAATATTTTCTGTAAGTTCTTTATAATGTAAAAGCACCAGTTCTCCCATTACTGTTTCCTCTGCCTTCCCAGAGTGTACTGGGCTAAATTAATTTTTAAATTAAATTATTTATTTTAAAAATAATTTCATAAATAATTTTCTTACACAATATTATTGACTGAAATGAGTGATAAATCTGGCCTTCCACATAGCACCAAGGAGATTGTCTGGGAGCAGCAGGGAGGTTTTGACGACCGTAATTCTGTCCTCTTATTTGCCACTTAGTTCACTATTAGGTTTCATGGTGGTTTATGTTCTTTAAAGACCTGCTGTGCAGACACATCAGTTAAAGAAAAATCTTGCCATCGAATTCTCATTCTTTTCACTAACCCAGGCAGAGTGACCCCCAAGGACTGAAATACATATCGCAAAACTGAATCCTGGTGGGTTTTAAAGGGCTGAAAACAGCCCTCAGGCAGATCTGTCAGATTCTGTGGTTTATCTCTTCTGATTTATATTGTTAGGTCTAGAGCAAGGTTAGCCAGCGATATCGCACTCAGTCTGATACCTTACGATTGGTGGGAAGTGGAATTACAATTCACCTCTGGGGACATGAATAAATATATTTTACCAGATGGCAATTTTCTCCTTCCCAATTAAACTTTTGGCTGTAAAAGGATAAACTTAGTTGTTCTTTTTTTTCCAATTTGACAGTCCTAACAAGGGGATTGGGCTCCCTTGCGAAGACTCTAATGGTAAGAGGATAGTGGTGATGTTTCATATGCCTGGGGTCTGACGCAGCTCTCAGCAGCCCTGCACAGACATTGCTCTTCATTGAGGATTCCCCAAATGTTTCATGTTCATAAGGTATCACAGCATCTCTGCAAGTTAGGTGCCGTGCTTGTTTTCACTACTGTAAGGTATCTGGAGAATTACAAAAACCAACCTAAAGCTGTGTAACTGGGAATAGGAATCATAAGTTGTCTGCAGTCTCCGGAAAATGTAGTTTTCCACCCCACAAACAGCCCAAGTGAGTGCCGTGCCGTTAGCAGAATGATACGGACACGTCTAAGCCCTGCGCGGGCGTTTGCAGGAGATGGCTCAGCATCTCGCAGTACATCTGAGGTGGGATTTCCTACTCTCCGTGTGCTGCAGCAGCCAAGGTAGCTCATCATTTCTGTTAATTTAAAACCTTCTGAAGCCGATATCTTCCTGCAGTGTCTTGAGTAACAGTTCAATTTAATTCAAGAAAAATGCAGACTGTTGAAATTATCTGCTGAAGTCCAAACATCAGCAGTCCTTGAAAGCAGCTTACCTGCTAAAACATGACACTTCCCAAGGCAGCCTAATCCCTGCCTCGGACAGTCCACGGCGAGATGATGCACATCACACAGCACAGTGGGTATTTCTTCCTGCAGCGTAGGAAAGAGCGTGGGCCTATCATGTGAGATTCAAGGCAGGTGAGAAGGATGTGAGAATGCTTACAAAACAAGAAAAAGAAAAGTTAAATATTGAGGTTTAGGTCTCCTGAACTCGGTGGAAAATTTCTACAGCATGTAAGAGAGGCTAGAAACTTGGGAGAGAGGGAGAAATGAAAGGACATCTTGTTTTTAATTCAGTGCACTTGAAACATGTCCTGGGGGTTTCGGAAGTCAGTGTGGGTAGCAGTGAGGATTTCTGCTGTGCTGAGCTGTATTTGTTGTCCTCTAAGTCTGCATGGGTGCAGTGCAACACTTCAGCCTTTGCTGGATGGCTTATGTCACTTTACCTTTTTTCCAAAGCTTGTCTGTCTGCCAAAGTCTGTATCGTGCCCTGTAACACATAATGGTTACAGAATGCTCAGGTGGAGAAGCAGAACTCCACCTGGAGCCTGCAGCAACCTCATGGTCAGACTCCCAGCTGGGGAACACGAAATTCCTCTGATGATGCTCGCCCTATCTAGTGGGTAGATTTAGGTTGGAACCTTCCTGGAGAGGGTGGTGAGGCACTGGAACAGGTTGCCCAGGGAAGCTGTGGATGCCCCATCCCTGGAAGTGTTCAAGGCCGGGCTGGATGAGGCTTTGAGCAACCTGGTCTAGTGGAAGGTGTCCCTGCCCATGGCAGGGGGGTTGCAACTGGATGGTCTTTAAGGTCCCTTCCAGCCCAAACCACTCTGTGATTCTGTGACTCCCAGGACAGTCCAGTGGCATTGCAGGCAACAACGAGCACAGGCAGACAAGCAGACTGAAACTTCAATTCTGGTTCTTACTCGTGTGTGTGCCCAAAAGTTTCATTACTGAAGCGATTCCATCTTGAATGTGTTGCTGCAGGACATGGAGGACGGATCTGCCGAAGGGGATGTGCATGCTGGTTGCCATCTCTGTGGAGCACGAAGAGGCTCCTCTTATGGGAGCCGTGCGAGCCATCGTGATGGACTCCCAGTACTTGATAGAGCCATGTGGCTCAGGAAAAGCCAGGCTGACCCACATCTGCCGGGTTGACCTGAAGTAAGTACCCACCTGCATAAAGCAGATGTCTGGTCAGCAAAGTAAAAGCCTCCAGCCCAGGGAGGTGTGGGGAACAGAGAATGTGCCCAACATAGCTTTGGGGTCTTCCTGCAGTCTTTTCTGTCCACCAAGCTCATTTCTCTGCTCAGCATCTACTGCTGTTACGATGTGATCACAGAACTAAAATCTGCTTATTTGGTGACTGCAAGGGGGAACTTCAGAGCACGCTGGCGATGACAAGTATTTGAAGTCCCCACCACCACTGTGGGCAGCGGGGAGCAGGAAGCACCGCAAGCCCCTTCCCTGCGAGGCACATTTCTTGAGTATTTCAGTTTCTCAATAATTCTTTTTCTATTTCTTCAGAGGACATTCCCCAGAGTGGTACAACAAAGGCTTTGGACATCTGTGTGCAGCAGAAGTTGCCAGGATCCGAAACTCATTTCAGCCTCTGATTGCTGAGGGACCAGAAACAAAAATCTGAGGAAGCGTTCCTGGGAGCGCGTGAGCGTACATCGGGGTCTGGCAGGGAGCAGGAAGGCGGAAAGCAAAGAGCTTATTTAAGCTGCAGAACTCTGACCAGACCTGGGTCTGTACAAAAGTGAAACATGAATCTTATAGGAAAGTGCTTATATTCTGGAGACTTCACCTCTCCCCCCCTGTCCCCTGTCACATCCCTTCTGTATTAATTTCAGTTATTGAAGTAAACATTTCTTCAGAGAACTTTTATCATTATTACTTTAAAATCCGACTGTTGCTATTACTTGTGTGTTACAGAATTCTGGTATTTAAAGGCTTCTAAGAAGCATATTTTAATTGTAAATAAGTTATGTACAGTATGTATATACCTATATTATATCTATCTATATATATGTATATGTATAAATTAATTATTTTGTATATAACTCCGTGCAAATCACTTGCATCAGTCAGACCTGGAATGAAGCCGTCACTTGTTTCTTCGTGTGTCACTGCTACATAAGCTGTGTCTGCTGTATCCCAGAGCTGCCGGGCATGATCCGTGTGAGAACGGAAACGCCCGTTCTCAGATAGGTTGCGTGTTTGTGTGTGCTGTGAGCAGGTACCTAAAAACAGATGTAGGAAGACTTAAAGGAACGAAGGAGGAGGGAGGCTCCTGTACGTTTGAAAATAATGAGGAATGGATCAGTTTCACCAAATAAAATACATGGGAATGTTAACTGAGGGAGATGTTTTGAAGGCCATTTATATTCCGCTGCAGAAAGTCTGTGGACAAGGTGTTGAGAAGTTACCTACTGCCGTAATTAATGGTATATCTGCTGCTAGAGAGCCCCAGTCCGTGCAGCGTTCACTGCTCGCTCTTGGAGAGTACAAGGTAACGCTGTGTGTACTGAGCTGTCTGCAATCAGACCGGCAAGTTTTTAAGCTGTAAATCACTTTTTTGTTAGCATTTTGTCTAGGTTCTGAGTAGGTGTTTCTGTGTTGCTCTTCCCTTCTCCCGCAGAGACGGCTAATACCATGTTAAGGAACTCCAAAGCAGGTTTTCCACAACCAGTGGACACAAAGGCATGCAGATGAACACCATGCCTTTTAATCTTCTCACTATACAAATAACAAAACCTTTTTTTAAGCTTTTAAACACATCTTGGAGATGTAAAAGACTAAATGCAGACTGTGCTTGGGAAGATTGCTTTTATAGCAACGGCAAGCATTTGCATATTGTATTGCACCGATCTGCATGATCCTGCCTCCGTAGGCACCGGTGGGAGCAGGATTAGACCCTGACTATGAGGAGCAGGAGACATTTAAGTCTATTATAACATTTCCTTTTCAGGGACCTGTTACTTTGCTAATGGAAGAATGCTTTAAAAGTGATGATAATAATAATTTGTCGACGTTACCTTCGAGGCAGGGTTCCATTTTGTTTTTAACTAACCTAAGACCAAAAATCTATGGTTATACGTCTATGATTCAGTAAGAATGTGCAAGCCTGTTAATACTCTTCTTCATTAATTGCATTTGTTCACTTTGACTTTATTTATTGCTGCATAAACCAGCTGAGTCATTCATAGCCAGTGTTTTAGCTCGGTCCTGCCAACCACATCCGCTAAGATCAGGCATGGGGTCAGTTAAGCAGGATACATTTCTTACACAGAGCTGCAGGGGAGATGGAGAAGTCTTTGTCCATGCAGTGGCACTGCCCGTGCTTTGAATCGGCCCCGGGTATGGGGGCTGTGGGGTGGACCGCGTGCTGTCCCAGATTGCTGCTAGAGCACGGTCCCACGGGCCGTTGCGCGTGGAAGGGCTGTGCTGGTGGGGGACAGCCCTGCAAACGGAGGGCGAGCCGGGGCGAGCTCGGTGTGGACAGAGTGACCCAGCACGGTCATGCCATGGGGTGACAGGACCCCAAAAAAGCCCCTCTTGTCTTCCCTTCGCTGTCTCACGCACATGTTGCTGTGCAGATCCCAGGATGGGGAATGTTGGCTGCCCGTGAGCTCCTGCCCTGGGTTCGTGGCCAACAATAGTTGCAGAGTACAGCTACTGCATGGGTTTAAGTCTTAAAGACAGGGGAGCGCTTGCACCCTTACGTGGCCACGTGGTGTTGGCAATTACTTGCCAGCCCCAGGGAACCACTGCTGCCCACATCCAGCCTTCCCTGGGGCTTGGGAGCTGGTGGGGCAAGGCCAGTCCCCCGGTTCCAGCGGGACTGCCACCCCAGAAGGTGGCAACTCCTCCCAAAACCTCGGTAGCCACGGCAGCAGGGCTCGCGTTGCTCCAAAACATAAGCAGTTAGAGCTACGTTAGTTTGCATAAACGAATGCAATAGTGCCGCAGTATTAACGGACACACAACTTCCAGCCCTGGGAATGGCAATTGTCTGGCAGTCAGTAATTCCTTAAGGAATTGAAGGGAAAACCTGAACAGTGGTTTTATCTTGTTTGACAAGTCGTTGCTCAGGTGGAAGGGGCTGTGTACCACCTGCCACCGTTAGCGGGGTAGGGTTGTCCCCCTGCCCTTGCAGAAGCCCTGCCGTGTGCTCCCGGCATCTCTAAGCCAATGAAACAAGGTTTCTCAAAGAGCATGTTACGCCGTGTCTACCATTCAGCTACCGCAGTATTCTGTATCGTTACGTTGCCATTGAGAATACATTATGGTAATTGCATTTTTAAATGTTATACTCATATCAATACCTCATATTTTTACCTCATCTGTTGGTATCAGTCATTAGTTGTAAATAAATAATTGCAGAGTTGAATAAATTTGCATACACTAAAGAATCACGTTTCCTTTGTGCGCTCATTTCGTACATTGGCACGAAAAAACACGGTAAGTTTAAGCCCTTCCTTTCTTTATTACAGCCTCCTGTACGCTAAGCTGTTCTGATAGGGGACCTCAGTAACGATGTCAGGCTCTAAGTGATATTGTCGTCCATTATACTGACCCTGGAGTGTCCTTACGTATACAAGAGCTTCGTGGCAAAGACTTAGGTTTTCCAAAGAAGCCATTAAGCTGGGGTGGCTGGTTTAAGAACGGTCAACTCAAGTCCTCAGCAGTGTTTGGCCCCTGACTCCCACTGACTGTGTGTTTCTCCGTCTGTGTTCTTGTCTGTGATCGAAGTCTGGGTACGTGTGTGCCTGTGGAGCTGGGATGCTGAGCCTTGGGTCCACGTTGTCAGAGTTCAGCCATCTCAAATCCATCAAGCTGCTGCAAAAGAGAAAGAGATGGAACAGCAGGATAGCGATTCCTGTGGTTTGTCTTACACATATCTACAGATGGAATAAATTCCCTTCTGATGGGCCTATATCTCTCCAACTCTCTCATGTTATCAAAAGCAGCAGAGTCTTGGAAATCAGGATACTGAGCAGGGAGTCAGCTATGAGAGACCACCCAGAAGGGAATAAGCCTTTATGTCCCACCATTCAGGGAAAACTCAGTATTAAACTCTGGACTGAAAGCGGTTTTCTCCAGTTGTCTGCCACAGTCAGCTGTGTAAATCCATCTTGCAAAAGAAAAAAAGGATGCAATGCACTCTGATTCCCATCTCTCCCTTCTACTCAGCTGCAGTGATGTCAGTGCAAGCAGCACCGATGTTGTGACTCCTGGCGCGCACACAAGCTTTGTAAAGCTGCAGACTTGGGCATCGCCCCTCTTGCAGCGCCTGCAGCAGCCGGCAGCAAGCCTCCCCCCATGGGGGTGCTCGGCAGAACCGGTGCGAGCCTCGGGCGGCCGCGGCACACCCAAGAAGTGTCAGGTAGTCCGATGAGAGCACAGTCTGAACGTACCGGAATGACTGTGGGATGCAAATGTTGGGAGAAATATCCAGGAGACTGCTGGAGCCTGCAGATGGAATAGAGGATGAAAACTGATAGTGCTGCTCCAGCTCAGTGGTGACATGGAAGAGTGGGGAGGGAGCACAGACCTTACCGGGCAGAAAGCAGCGCTTAAAGGGGAGGACCCACTCATCATCATCCCTTGGGGGTTTAGCATGGCCGTACCGTGCTCTCCTTGCCAGATGTGCGTCAGTCACAGCTGCACAAGGGCTTCATGTGGATGAGTGCTGGGCCAGGCAGTTGGCCCTGGCACATCATGGTATGCCAGGACCGGGCACACGCGGCATCAAACCCCAGATTCAGAACAAGGTGGGTGTTTGGGCTTTGCTAAAATGTGCAGTTCAAATTGTGACCTCCCCGACATCGTGGGTATCTGATGCAGACACCCAACTTTTCCCCCCAGAGCAGCAATGGGGGCAGGGCAGACCCCACCCGTGTGACTGCTGACTGCCCCGCTTCAGCGTGCAAGACGCAGCTCAGCCAGCACACGGGTGCGTGGGGCGCGAGGGCTCACCGGCAGCGGGGCAGGGTCTGGGTTAACGAGTAAGCGGCAGGGAAAATATTGCAACACCGCGGGCAGTTATTTGCCTGTCTTTTATAGGCTTACGCAGGGGAGGTCTCACACGCTCCCAGGTACATTTCCTAATCCACAGCAGGACCTCGGCACCACGGAATTTACACCTCCCAGGAGGGTTAGCATGGCTTGCAGAAAAAGCCACCTGAGCACTTCTTCTGCCCCTTTAACTCTGGAAACTGGCATCTCAATCCCGCTACCTTACTCCTGACCTCCCACAGGCAGCTGTTTTCCACTGCTCTCTGCCACAAAGCCCGGCTCAAGCCCAACTTCCTCATCCGCAGGCTGGGCTCCCCGCTCGCCCAGCCCAGGCTGCACGGGGGGCACAGCCTCCAGGGCAGGGGGACGGTGGCCAAGCGGTCAATGGTCCCGGCTGCAGCGGCGGGGAGGAGGTCAGGCACTGCCGGCCTGCCAGGGCTGGAGTCTGCCAGCGCCCCCACACTAGGGACAGAACCCCGGGTGATGACACAGAGCCTCTCTGCTTCCCTCTGAGCAGGAGGAGGCAGGAAAATAACCAAGAGCCTGTACCAGGTGCCCCATCGCCATGACAAGCTGGGGCTTTCAATCCCCTCCCGGGGCGTGTGCGTGTCTAGCGAGACG